CCGTCTTAATAGCACTGCAGCCACGGAACCACTAAAGTGATGAGGTTGTTAAGTTCTACAACCCAGCAGCAGAGCAAGCGAGGTTAATATCTGGTAGGATCTTTCCCTCCTGCTCTGGGCCAGCCTTCCATGGCTCATTGACCTCCCCAAACCCGGAAGAGCTTGTGTACCATATATACGTATAAATAATTACCCACACTGCACTGCATTTGCATAGGTACAAAAGAACCAGTTCCCACCTTCAAAAGCGTCTGAACACTGAAGGTATTTGCCCACCCTAATTATGACCGAAGAGGACCATTTAGTGCCCCGATCATGTTGTGAACTGACAGCCAGCGACAGCCCTCTGCAGTGACAGGAGGAAACCCTTCTGCAAATGTCCCCAAGACTGAACATGCAGTACTCGCCCACTTGTTAAAAGACTTCTCTCTACATGAAATACATCCACAAGGCAGCAGGAGATGAGGGAAACCCTAAGAGAATAAGTCCTTGTCCCCTCCCAACGACAAAGGCTGATGGGCCACCTACACCAGGCAGCATTGCCAAAGTTACAATGCACAGCTCTTCCTCCAGGGAGGTGTGCCACCAACTCAGTCAGCGGTGGCCAGCTAACAGAGCATGAGGCACACCAGGTATTCCGTGATTCACGAAGTTAAATATCCACCCGGTACGACTGGCCGTTTCTAAAAGAACTGTTTTTGCCAGCAAAGCGCTGGGAATTCCTGGCACCCAATAGCCAATATTGGACCAGCCTAGCAGTTTCTGAAAATTCTTCCACACACAAACCTCTGTTTATCATCCTCTGGTTACACCGTTGTCATACATATTACTGCTCCATGATGATGGACACTCGGGACATCTTAGAAAGTTGCTGAAACTGGAGCCCCTGCTTGTTTTCTCAAGACTTGGACAAACATAACTTTAGAGAGAGCAGAGCATGGGCATAAAGAGAGAGGAGACTGCATTTTCATCTTCCTTTCATCTTAGTCATTCAGTCAGCCATTCAGGACCCCATTCAATGGAGCTTTTCATTATGCAAAAAAATGCTAATCCTTTTCCGATGCTTTCACACTTGTATAAACCCCCATTCCTTCAGCTGAAAAGCAATTATATCAGTTTACCTTTCTGTCAAAAACAGGATTAATATTCCAATAACAGAATCTCCTTTCTCTATCTTTTTTTTTTTCTTTAGGAAATGAGAGAATATCAGTACAGGCATTCTGAGAACAAGAATATATTATCTGAAGTATGGGGATGTTAACCACGGATGGGTGGGAAAAGGAGACAAATCAAGAAGAAGACAAAGTGGTTCAGTTGCTGCAGAAACTCTTTCCTGGGACACAACTGACCTTCCCTCGGCAGCTGCCCCGAGAGTGAGACTCACTCGGGTCTATTAATCAGAAACAAATTATGAAAGAATGTCGCTGGACTGGTTGACACTATCCCATCTTGGGAGAGTCAGAGGCAGCCTAGTAACAATGTCCTCTTCATGGGTAATGAACAGCCATGACAAATGGGGCAGAGCCACTATTTATTTGCATATGCAAATTCTCACACAGGGGAAACATGTACAAACAAGTGTCATTGTAAGGTGGATTAGGCAAACAACGCTTCCTTTTTTAGGACATTCTGCAGCCCAGGACATTAGTCAGCACAATTAAACCAGTCTCCATGGAGACTAATGAAATTTCACCATGGTATGAGTTAAATTAGATAGCTAGTTATGTGTTTCCACAATCCAACTCGCAAGCCATTATGGCTTTAGAACAATACAGCAATTGTGCCTGGCTGATCTCTGCCAGCTCAACAAGCTCCTAAGTTGACAATTTGCATATGTTAATATAATTAAGCACTAATTACATGAAACTTGTACATATTCACAGGCACTTTCCCTGGGTGCTTTTCAGTTTGAACCTAGGCCAAGTCTTTAACCCTTAGAATAGTCTTAGAGGGGGAAAAAAAAAACAAAACTCTGCCTGTGGGTACAGCCCCTAGGCAGACACAGAAAGGCTCCTCATTTATAAGCACAAAGCTTAACCTGGCTTCTCATATTTCCAGCAACAATGACAGAAAATATTTGGTGAGTGTGCTAGGGACCAGGGATAAAGAAGTGGGGGGGGGGGGGTGTGCAGGGAGAGGAGATGCATTAGTCTTTAAAGACTCATAAGGAGTATTTTCTCATAGGCAGGCAATGACATTCATTTCAAGAAAACGTTAAGGAAGGATTTGCTCTCCCTGACAGTGTCGAACCTTGGGAGATGAAAATGGTTTGAGAACAGCAAAAATAGCAAGCAGGAAAAGGAAGACGGAGCCAGCAGCACCTAATGAGCTTTACATAAATATATGCAGAGGCAATTAAGCAATGTTAATTACTATGACAACAGTTAATTGAATATAATTAGATATTTTAAGCCACTGAATAAAGCACAGTTAAGATTAATTTTATTGAGATTGATTGTAAATAAGGATAGATTAGCTCTGTGTTTTGACAGGCAGAAAAAGTAGTTCTGCACATGAAGCAGGGGCCTGGCCACGCCAGGCCAAAAATCATATATTATTTTAATGTCACACCTCAGAATCATCTCCTCAATAAACATGACTTTTCAAACCCAAACAGACAGGAATCCTGAAGAAAAACAAACAGCTTGCAGAGATTAAAGAGCCTTTTGTCCTTTTTCATGTGCATTTCTTTTAACAGACTAAATTAAGCGAGTCTGGTGTACGTTTTTTGAGGAAGGAACATTTCACACTGAATGGAAAAAATGTTCTATCACATATGAAATTCGTGCAGCTGTGCGGAACTTGGTCCAGATGGTTTTAGACTATAAAACACCCACCAAATGATAGACAGTAGGCCTTCCCAAAGATCATGCGATAAAGTCACAATCTTTTATTTTGTCCTCCTAAAGCCCCGCTTTGGTATTATTTCCAACAGAATCACATCTTTTCTTTTCACAATTGTGTCTCCAAGAAGCTTACAAGCAACACTGTGCCTACTGAGTGCCTGAAATCAATGGGAAAGGGCTGGGAGGCCTCCTTACACAGACAGCAGCGAAGTCACTCAGCCACAGACGCAATGAGAGCTATGACAACCCCAAATGCAGATGACAACTCTTGAGTAGGACTCTGACAAACAATGGTGTCTCGAAACATCTCTTAGGGAAAATACTGCTAAGTGAAAATCCCTCCCAAATACTTTCACACCCAGCTAGTACAGCCTTTAAGAAAATGAGCACAGCCCTCAAGAACGCTGAACAAATCCCTAATAAGAAAGGCACTTCCATTGATTTTGAAATAAATCAATAGGCGATTAACATAATATTTTTTAAGCAGCCGCATGTACACATGTGTGTATGCGTGCAACAGACACATAGATATTATGTTTCCAGTACCTCGTAGTAGCTCTTAACAGAACCAGGGCTTAAGGCCACTGAGTTGCCTCACAACTTCTGTAGGGTGTCCTCAGTCTTTCTAACAAAAACCCTAAAAGGGTCTGTGAAACAAGCCTAGGACAAGCCATTCTGCAGCGAGAGATTTTAAATCATCCAGCCTCTTCTAATAGACTTGAGACTTATTGAGGTAGAAACCATAAAAAATGAAGAAGGGAAATTTAATCCCTGAAATATTGATTTGCACATTAATATCATATAGGCAGAGGGCAATTTGGCTTCGTGGAATGACACATTGTCGACCCTTGGTGAAGTCAGAGCCAATCTAACTGCTGAACATGTCTGAATCTCAAGAGTTATTAAGGGCCTCCCTTCTTGCCTTTATGACTTTTCTTCAGCCTACCAATGCAATCTTAAATGTATTATCTTTAAGAAATAATTGTAAAACCTCAGGGGTTTTCCAGTTAATGGAAGGGAGGCCAAACCACATCAGATTCTGAAATGCAACATTAAACCCTCGCAATCAACAAAAGCACCTCCATTCTCATCCATCCAGGGCAGGATCTAATATTGTTATTAAAGATAATCAAATTTCATTGTGTAAATTTAGGTTCATGGTCAGAATGGAAGTAGTAAATTCTGCAATATTAAACAGCGATTTTCTCAGCCTGCTCTATGTTTTCCCCTCGCTGGTGCAGCATCTTTTCCAATAATTCTATTAGCTCCAAATTAATGAACAGACTTGAGCTCATCCGCTAAAAATGGCAAAAAGATGACAATAGAGCTGGAACAGGTTTCCTTCAGTTTTAACTTTAATGGCAACTTTCACTTCCCAGCCCCACAGCCATCTCCCTGCCTGACCCCACAGTTGGGGGCTGTGGCTTTGACTCACACAGCTGGTCTATCTGACCTTTCTTTGTTCCTTAGGCACATTTCACTTTTCAGATTTATGGTATTTGCCCCATATTTCATTGACTCTATCTCCATTGCCATAAAATCAAAACACTCCAGTATCAGCTTACTTAAAAAAAAAAATCCAAAAGCAACCAGCCACTGAATAAACACACTACGATGCTCTCTCCCCAGTTTCTGCCATAAATATGAAAACTGCTTTTTCCCCCCAATAACTGTATAAACCTTATGATCCCCACACTGAAGCCAGGTGTAAGAGGTTAAAACAGCTGGCGAACCCTCTTTTATTTTTGTGTGCCTTCCTGCTGATTGAAACCACAAACATTGAAAACTATCAAATATTCCCTTAAGGATTTCTTTTCTTTCTTTCTTTTTTTTTTTTCTTAAGAAGAAAAAGGGGGGGAAAAGGAAAGCATTTTCTTCAATAGGCTGCTGCGTGGAGAAGAAGGAAAAAAAAACTCTAAAACACAAGCAGTTACAGAAGTCGTGAAATCATCGCGACCATCTCCTTTCCTGCGGTAGCTAAACCATCATTTCCCAACAGCTAGGCACAATTGTTTTTATTATTCAGTGAGGAGAGAGAAAAGGAGAAAGAGAAGGAAAGAAAGGAAGGAAAAGAAGAGTCGGAGCCTGCCCTGCCAGTCCCGCCAGGAAACACAAAGTAAAACAAGTGCGGATGGCGCGGAGAGCGTTACGTACCCGGGCTGTGTTTGTGCATGGCTCTCAATGGAAGCGATCGATGCCCGTGTCACAGTGGCGTCCCAATCGCAGCCAAGTCTCAGCCTCAATCTAAGCAACACCCGGCGAGAAGGCGGCAGCAGCGGCAGCCGCAGCCTCTCCCTGACTCCCCCATCCATTCACCCGACTACAAATAGAACACTACATAGGAGCCTCAAGCACCCCCACGTTTATGGGGATCAAGCCACTGGAAATCCTGGAGAACACAATAAAAAAAAAGAGGAGAAAAAAAAAAACACCCAAAACCACCCTTCCTTCTTGTCTCTTGTCTCTCTGGCTTCCTCTCTGCCTCCTCTCTCCTCCTCTCCCTGCTCCCTCTGTCTCTCCTTTTGCCATCTACATGATCCTTGATTAAACATGGAACAGAGTTAATAAAAAAAAAAAAAAAAGAGGGGGTGGGGGGAGAGAAGGACTCAGGGAGAGGAAATATGCAACTGTCAGAACCGGGGCGGCCAGATTTCCTGTGAACCTGCCTGTGTCTGAGTCAGTGTCAATCCACCATCTTCCGCCAGTGAACTTGTCTTTGGGTTTTTGTTTGCTTGGGGGGCTGCAGGGGGGAGGTTGTTGCTGTTGTGTGTGTGTGTGCATGTGTGTGTGTCTGTGTGTGTGTGTGTGTGCTTGCTTTTGGAAGGGGGAGGGGAAGGCAAGGTGGGGGCAGGCGGTGGTGGGGGGGTGCAGGGAGAACGTGCGTGAGCCTGTGCCGAGTGTGTGTGTGTGTGTGTGTGTGTGTGTGTGTGTGTGTGTGTGTATGTGTGCAGGGGTCGGCATGGGGGGGGGGGGGGGCGCGAGCGATCGGAACCTAGGGTACCTACAAGGAGGGTGTGTGTCTCGCCGATCGGGAGCTAAGACCTCACCGGAGCCGCGCGGAAGTGAGAGGAGCCGCGGCCCAAGGCGGCCCAGGAGCCGGGCGTGCGGGCCGGACCCCGGACCCCGAGCTCCGCGCCCCGCGCCCCGCGCCCGCCCGCCCGCAGGAGCCCCCGCCCGGACCGCAGGTAACAAAGACATCCCCGCCCGCGCCCCCTGCAACTTGGGCATCATCGGTGGAGAAAGTTTATGACGATCCGGGAGACGTTTTATTATTATTATTTTCTTTTCCGATAGGAAAAGAGCAGAGAGAATGGGGGTGAGGGAGGGAAAGAGAAGTAGAGGGAAGGCGAGACCCGGCGCGCCCAGCCCCGGAGCCTCGCCCGGCTGCCGGCCGGGGGGCGCGCTGGCTGCCGGGGAGGCGGCGGCGGAGGCGAAGTTGGTCCGCAGGCAGACCCGGAGCCCCTCCGGGGGGCCCGGGGAAGGACTCAGTCTCCCCGCAGCCGCAGCCCCCACCCCACCCCACCCCTGCGCGCGCACACACACACCTTGCCCTCTGCCAAAAAGAAAGGGACGGACTCTGCACCCCGAGCCGCGGGCACCCAAGCTCCGGGCTAAGGCGCTCCGGGCAGGGCAGTCCCAGCGTCCGGAGCGGCGGCGGCCGCGTCCCGGTGGGTCCCCGCCCGGAGGCCCGCGATCCCGCCGCCTAACGGACCTGCTTCCGAGCGCCGGCGCCCCGGTCCGCCCGCCCCAGGCAGCACCCCGGCCGCGCCCGCCGCCGCCGCCCGGCGCCCGCTCTCCCGCCGCCCGGCCCGGCCTCCGCCGCGGCCACCGGCGCCCTGGGCGGCGCGGGAGCGAGGGAAGGGGGCGGCGGCGGGAGGAGGGAGGAATCCGGCTGGAATACGGCGCGGGGGGAGCGGGGAGAGGGGCTCCCGTGTCCAAACTTTCCGGGGACGGACGGGCGCGCCGCCGCCGCATGGCGCCCGGGGCGCGGGGACCCCGGCCGCGAGCTGACAGCCGCCCGCGCCGCCCGGAAGCCCGGGCTCGCGGCGCAGCCAGAACCCGAAAACGCGGCAAAGGGAGAGCCGGCTGCCCGGCCGAACGCGGGATCCGCCGCTCCATCCCAAAGTTCCATCCCCCCGCCACGCAGCCCCCCAGAGAAAGTGGGGGACCAGGCCCCTCCGGGTCCCCTCCCTCCGTCCCTCCGCCGAGCGAGTCCTCCAGCCAAAAAGAAAAAAAAAAAAAAAAAAGAGATGAAGAAGAAGAAGGGGGGAAGGAGATGGGAAAGGGGGCCGAGCGGAAGGGATGGTCGGGATGCGGGGACGCGAGCGGGAGCGAGCGAGCCGGGGGCAGCGGGAGAGGCGGAGAGGGGGAGAGAGCGAGCGGAATATCACCAGATTGTGCAAGATCAGGCTGGAGAGGTAATCGATACCCGGCCTACATTTAACACAAACTACTCAATAAAAGTTAAAGAAAAAACTTACTTTCCATTTCCCCTGCTGCAGTTCCTACGCGATCTTCGCCTCCTCTTTTTTTTTGTTTTGTTTTGCTTTTATTTTTTATTTTTTACTCACAGCCGATCACGTCCAAGTAAAAACCAGAGAGGGCTCATTTTAAAAAATAAAAAATAAAAATTAAAAAATAAAAATTAAAAAAAAATAATCCTCGAACTTTATTGGGTGGAAATCAAAACGCTGGAGCAGAAAGTGGGGGGCATGGAGCGGTCCTCGGGGTCCGGGAGGAGTGAACGCGTGCGCCCGCCGCGGCCTCGCTGTTGGCTTGTGAAGGGGCCGGGAGACGCAGGAAAGGAAATGAAAATCCGATATGTCTTTATTCTGCTAATTATTATCGTTTTAGCCCTGTTTAAAAAAAATGGCTGATTAAGTTGAGTGCGCATGTCTTTGTGTGTCTATTCCCGATATGCACTCTGGGAATGAGCGAGGAGAGCGGGGAGAGGGAGGGGAGGGGGGAGAGAGAGAGGTGTAATTAGCGAGGTGATCAACATTCCCCGGCTGCAAATGACGCGCAGCCGGCCCGCCGCCGCCGCCGCTGCCCGGGCTCCGAGCGGCCGGGAGCCCGGGACTCGGCCCCGCGGGGCGGGCAGGACCGGGACCTCGGGGCGCGCACCCCACGCGCCCCTGCCCTGCGCGCCGCTCCCAAACTTCATTAGACACACACACACACACACTCTCACACACACACACACACACACACACACACACACACTCACACACACACACTCACACATGCATATACACTCACACACTCAGCAAAGGGGTGGGGGTGGGGGGGTGTCAAACCCAAACACCGCCCAAGCACTGCCCTTGAACCTCTCTCTCCATGCTCCTCTTTTTTCATGTTAATGAGCAAAGTCATCATTAGCGGCCCGGAGATTTGTTTACCGGGGAGCTTTCAGCAGCAGGGATGGGAGTGAGGGCAGCGGAGGGGGTGTGCTCTGCCTGGTGCATTCAGCTGTGTGCAAGCACGCAGGTCGCTGGCAGGGAGGGGGGGTATGCAGATGTATGTAAATACAGGTATGCAGATGTATGTAAATACGGGGTGCCTGACTGCTTGCGGGCACAGCCCGCTCTGCCCAGCCAACTTTCTCTCGCAGGAGGAGTTGCACCCCGCGTCTGCAGACACTGCTCTTGAAAACGTGTGTCTTTTGCGTAGGAAAACCCAGGGCAGGGAAGATGGAAGCGGTTAGTTTAGTCAAAGTAAACTTTCTAATGAGAAGAAGAAGTGGTGACTGCAAGGGGGAAGACAGGGAGTGTGCGCTCGGTTCTAACCTTTGTGGAATATTTTTGAATATTTTATCAGAATTCCGTGTAAGTTCAATGTAATGGCTTTAAGAAGACTTAGGGAGAAAAAAAAACCTTTCATCTTTGCGAGTCTGTGGAATTATCTTTCGGGAAGCACATTATTATGAATTTAAAAATCCCACTACAGATCTCATTAGAATGAAATATACTTGGTCTTTTCCTGGTGCAAAAATTTAAGGTGGCTGATTCTCATTTGAAAATCTAATTATCTCTTCCCAATATTACAGATGTGAATATGAGTGACACTTTCATTAAAAGATAATTAACTAAAACTAGGAATAGACATACTTTTAAATACCCCCTGATATATACTCAGATATATATACTCAGAGAGCATCTGGATACACTGCTATACCTCAGGTCCCAAGGAGACACCACCTAGGCAATATTTCAAAAAAAAAATAGGGATTCTACAGAGAAGGTGAGAGGAGCAAATCAGACAAGCTAAACACAGGAAACACTTGCAATGTCCAGCTTCCTGGACAGGTGAGGCCTCCGCTGCTCTGGGGTTGACAGGCCTTTGAAGTTCTGGTTTGCCAGGATCTGCTTCAAAACCTCGTCTTAGGCCTTAAGCACCAAAGCTACCAAACACCACCAGAAAGGTTTATCACACAAGCACTAGGGACCACAGAGGCCGCAAACCTGCACCCCTCTGGCCTGAAGCCTTGAGTGATCAGGGGGAACGTGTGGAAAACCCTAGGACTGATGCAAATGGGATTAAACACCCCCCCCCCCTCCACTACACCTGGAGGATAAAAGCAGAGTCCTGGGTAGAGCAGACCCAGACCCAGGTCAAGAAGAAAGCTGGTTGCCTGTGGCAGCTGGCCCAGGTGCCAATGCGAGTCCTGAGGCTGGCAGTGGGGAATGAAACCCAGACATGACCTTTATTAAGAGAAAAAGGCAAAGCAACCACCACCTTAGGGTCTGCAGTCTGTGCATGGACCAGAGCCTTAGAACCAGGGCCAGTAAACGCTAGCAGAAAGCGTATGAAGGAAGTCTCCTCCAAAGACTCCATTCCATTTCCCATTTGCTGGGAAGAGACCTGCTCACACTGGACAGCTTTCTAAGATTTTAAGTGACTCTGTTTACAGCCCCACGTTCACACGGTGTCGCCCACCATGTGCTGCCGTGGCTGACGGCGTCTCCTCGGGATTCATGCATGTGCCTTCAGAAACATGCGCGCCCAGGAAGGTAACATTTACATTCTCTTATAAGCGAAGAAGGTGTTTATGTAGCGTTACTGTTTACTGAAACACACCCCAGAGAGCAAAAATTCGGGCTTAAAGAAAAACACAACACACACACCCAAGGATCTGAGGTGTGTGATGGGGAAGGGAGCACGGGCTCTGACAGAGACGGAGGGGAAATGGAGGCAGGGGAACTTTCAGGTTCACATCAGAAGAGATCAAGCCCTTTGCGGGAGAGGGCTCTGCTACAAGCTCCCTGATGGAAAAGCCATTTCCTGCGATTTCGGGCGGGCGAAGGCGCGTGATGAAGGAAACACCTGAGAACAATAAGTCTGTTTCAGGCTCAGGTGCAGAAAGGGGTCTGTTTCTGGCAGGGAGGAAGAGGGAAACGGCGATCATTCCGTTTTCAAGTCCTCCTTTATTTCTCTTTGCCTCTTTCCCCCCTGAAACATCATCAATAACATTACTGTCATTAATGTCAAAACACCAAACGTCAAATCAGGAAAACCATTTTAAAAAATTTGGTGGCTATTTTTTTTTCCCTCCTCTTGGAAAAGAGAAAAAAGAAAAGGCTGTGTGTGTGTGTGTGTGTGTGTGTGTGTGTGTGTGTGTGTGTGGTGGGGGCAGCGGTGATTGAATTCCGAGTAAGAAAACAAAAGGAAGGGGGATTTGCAAGTGGGGCGCCCACTTTTTTGCAACCCCTTCTGCTAGCAAGCCTTCCCCTCCTGGCGTGGTGTCTGTGTTTTCCTTTTAATCATCCTCTTCCCGGTCCTCCTTTTCCCTCTTTGCTAAGAAGAG